TATTCTTTTTCCCCCAGAATTAAGGAGGATGCAAGCTGAAGATTAAAAAAAGTGTAAGATAACAAAATTTTAGTACTGCCTCAAGTCATCAAGTCATCAGAATAAATGAAATGACTTGAAAAGAAACTAAGAGATTAAAGGAGAAAAGTAAAAATATCTAAAGAAACTAGAATTGACAAAGGACAAGAAATAGAGTATAATGACTGAGAAGGAATTTCTTGAGTTTATCCCACAAAGGAAAGTTCAACACAAGCACACCACTAACACAGTCAATCATATTCTTGATTGTGGTGGTATAAACCATAATCCCAGCACCCCAGGGTACATAGTGATTTCTAGGCCAGTCTGAACTATATAACAAGACTCTGTCTCAAAAAACAAAACAACAAAACACCACCCTAGCATTCAGTTCTGCATGTCAAGATCACATGTTTCAGTTTGGATGTGGACCATCTCCCATTGGGGATCTGGGCTATGCACATGTATCCAACCTACAGCGATGGGCTGTGTGTAGTAAGGCGGCCCCACAGATGGTAAACCTTACATGTTATCGGATATTTATTGGTATGCTTTTGTTGATTATCTGTGCTGTGCTCAAAAACAGACCACACAGGTGACGACAGAACACTGGGGAGGGGAGTGCACAGGGCACGGATAATTCTGTCTCCTACGCCAGCTAGTCAGGGGAATCAAAACCTGTGCCCACACCGCGTGTACCAGATGTTACATGTACCGTGCCATGCAACAAGTACAACGCAGCAATTACAAACAGCAGTCCTTAAGCACCCTCACCCACGTGGGCCTACGCCGATAAGAATTTACTGTTATTAGCTGGGTGTGGCGGCAAACACCTGTAATCCCAGCACTCAGGAGGCTGAGGCAGGAAGGTCACTGTGAGGTCCAGCCCAGCCTGAGGTACAAAGTGAGTTCAAGGCCAATCTGAATTACATAGCAAGACAAAAAGATGAAAAAAAAAAAAGGAATTTACTGTTATTAAGCAGACATGGAAGCTTTCTTATTCAATTATTAAACAGGGGTTTTTATACCATGAAATAACTTTAGCTTCATAGCTATCATGGTACACAAAGTAAAAAATGTACCAAATAGGGTTTTTTTATGATGTGGTTATAATGACATATGTAATATCATCAATATTAGAAAAAGTGATGATTACTTATTAATTTTTTTAATATCATAGCATAGCTTCACGATCATATCAAAAGAAAGCAGGACCTCTCAAAAAATAAAAAACATGAGCCAGGGATATAGCTCAGCAGCATTAGTGTCTGCCTGCGAAGTTCAAGGTTCCAAGTTTGATCCCCAGTACTGCAAAAATAAAAAACGTGAAGAGTGTTCAATGAAAAATAGATGTATTTTCATGTTGAAACCAATAAGATATTTGGGTTCACTTATAAGGAAACCATGTCCTTGTCAAAGATTTCAACTTGACATGCATATATAGTCAAGCTGCCAAACTTCATGTGCATCAAGGACCACTTCACAAAGACAAAATAGAAGAACCGAAAAGAGTCTGTGACAATTTTTTCTTTTTTAAAGTTACAACTGTAATCCCAGCACTCTGGGAGGCTCAGACAACAGGATCACAAATTCAAACCCAGCCCAAGCAATTTACTAGAAATCAATGTCAAAATAAGAAAGAAATCTGGGAATGTAGGGGCTGGGGGGATGGCTCGTGGAATAAACACTTCCCTGGCAAGTGCAAGGGCCTGAATTCAATCTCTGGTTCTGCCAAAAAAAAAAAATCTGGGAAAGTAGCTCAACAAAAGGAATTAAAAAGAAAAGAAGGGCTGGCCAAATAGCTCAGTGGATTAAAGCGCCTGCAAGCAGGCACAGGGGCCAGGAGTTCAATCCCTGGGCTTGCTGTGCCAGCCTGCCCCTAGGGTGCACTGAGATGCCAACTGAGATTGGGCATAATGGCGCAGGCCTGTAATCCCAGCTCTTTGGAGGCTGTGAACAGGTGGATCACTACAAGTCCGATCTAGTAGTGAGACCCTGAACATCCTGTAGACCCTTCCATAAAATTACAAA